CCAACTCAAGAAAAATAAAATCAAAGGAGATATTTTAGGAGGAAGAAATTGAACTTCAAAAGTTAAAATGTGAGATCCAAGAAGCCATGGTGAACAGAAAGCCTGTGGGTTTGTGGATTTAATTAAGTGTGGTTGTGTAAAATTGGGATGAATGGTGCTGATTACTTAGCAGGATCATGCTCCTACACTCCAGGAGACAGAGTGAGATCCCAAGTCAGAAAAAAGAAACAGATTCTGAAAGGTTAAAAATTAAATTGTGGTCAAAAGTATGCTGGGCAAAGTCAGATAAAGGAATTGTTCTCAGACAAAGCAGCATTCAGGCCTCACCATTACCAGTGACACAGAAGAAAGCTTTTTTTTTTTTTTTTTTGAGTTGGAGTCTCACTCTGTCACCCAGACTGGAGTGCAGTGGCTGCTCCCGGCCACCGCAGCCTCGACCTGCTTGGTTCTGGCGATCCTTCCACCTCAGCCTTCCAAGTAGCTGGAACTACAGGCGCATGCTACTACACCCAGCTAATTTTTTTGATTTATTGTAGAGATGAGGTCTTGCCAAGTTGCCCAGGCGGGTCACGAACCCACGGCCTCAGGCAATCCACTCACCTCAGCCTCCCAAAGCGCAGGATTACAGGCTGAGCCACTGAGCCCTGCTGAAGAAAGCTTTTATAATGCCAATGTCACCAGCAAGGACGGCTCTCCCACAGCCACAATTAGCAGAGAAACCGGAGAAAGACACATGAATAAAACTGATGGTGAACTTGCCTCTTCAGGTTAAAGGCAGAGATCCTGGACAGATAATTAGCATGAATTTGGCACAGACAAAAGGAACAACAGGACAAATTGGAGGAAGGAAATAAAGAGAAAGCAGACATGTAGAAGTTAGAAAACAGAAACAATAGAAGTACAAAGAAAATCACCTTTTACAAACACACAAAAATAGTGCCATATATTTTTCAAAGTTGTATACATGTTCCAGGGTAGAATCCAAGCCCAGTGAGTGGACCCAGGTGTGAACATCAAGGTGGAGGTGAGGGAGGTGGATTTGAGGCCTGGGGACTGTGAGCACGTGTGCCCCTGATGGGGTACACGCCCGAAGAGCATGAGAAGGAAGAATCCCTTTTGACCAAGCAGGCTCAATCCTAGGAGTGCAAGGAAGGCTTCACACCCATCATTAGGTAAGGGAAGAAAACAAGTCTAGGATCATTTTCACAAATGACAAAAAAATCATTTGAAGATATTCAGTCCTAATTCTAGTGAAAATTTCTCAGAAAAGCAGCACTGGGACACTTCCTTAGTTCAAGAAAGGATAAGAAAACATGATCGCAGCCAGGTGCAGTGGCTCACATTTGTAATCTCAGCACTTTGGGAGGCCAAGGCAGGAAGATTGCTTGAGCCCAGGAGTGCGAGACCAGCCTGGCCAACATAGTGAGACCTTGACTCTACAAAAATAAAATAAAAAAAAGAAGGCAAGTATGGTAGCATAACTATAGTCCCAGCTATTCCAGAGGCTGAGACAGAAGGATCGCCTGAGCCCAGGAGGTTGAGACAGCAGTGAGCCATGATCATGCTACTGCTCTCCAGGCTGGGCAATGGAGGGGACCCCCAACTCAAAAAAAAAAAAGTGCTCACGGTGAGCAGACACACTCAGTTTTAGAGACAGGTGGCTCTGGCCTGCCCATTCCTCTGGAGATTGTGAGGAGGGGAGCTGTGAGTGGAGAAGCCAGAGGCAGCTGGTGTCTTTTAGAGGAAGATGGCCACGTAGCGTGTGGGCCTCCAAAGAACTACAAGGACAACCGAAGGAGGCCTGGGGGCCATGGGGACCCCCTCTGCCCTTCCCCGACAGATGCAAATCATAGGAAAAGGGGACGTGCCCATGCGGACAGGAAGCATGTTTCGTTTTGTTTTGAGTTGGAGGCTCACTCTGTCGCCCAGGCTGGAGAGTGGTGGCACGCTCATGGCCACTGCAGCCTCTGCCTGTTGGGCTCAGGTGATCCTTCTGCCTCAGCCTTTCAAGTACCTGGAACTACAGGCGTGTACTACCATGCCCAGCTGATTTTTTTTTTTAACTATAGAGACAAGGTCTCGCCAAGATACTCAGGCTGGTCTCGAACTCCTGGGCTCAGGAAATCCTCTTGCCTCAGCCTCACAAAATCATGGGATTACAGGCTTGAGCCACTGCCCCTGGCAGTGTTTTGTGGAAGAAAATCTTGCCAGTTAGACGGCAGGACATAAGAGATGACAGAAATAAAGCGTGACATAGACCATGTTTCTAGTTGGGAGAAGAAATGTAGAGATGTGGGTCCAATGCCATCTCAATAAAAATATGAACAGTTTTTAAAGAAACCTGGTCAGGAACTTTCAAGCTCCATATAGAGGTGATAACATTGCAAAACCAACCAGAGTTTTGCCTTTAATGAGCTTCAAGAAGGGACAGGTGAGTGTGTTCTGGGAGGCGACAGGCCCCGGACAGGTCAGGGGGTCAAGCCCGGGTTGGACAGCCCACTTACCAAGTACTGAGGTGCTGCCTCAGGCCACAAACAGAAATTCCAGAGAGGTTAAAGAGCTAGGAACATGTAGGAGACATAATCTATAACATGGGATGGCTAAAGCTATGTGAAGCTGCGTAGCAAGTCCAGAATGCTTGAAGCAAACAAGTGATAGACAATTGTATCAAACCCAGATGGTATTGTGTGGGAAAAGGTATATAAAGTTAACATTCACGGGTTATCCATGAGAGTGTTTTTGACACATTGCTATAAAGGGTCTGGTATTCAGAATACAGGGGCACATCTGCAGATCAGTTAAGAAAAAGATAAATGAAACAGGGCCAAGACATGGTGAGCCATCCACAGACAGATACGTACCCCATCAAGGAAGGGGCACCGAGTCCCACCCACAACCCGAGAGGCACAGGCGAAACAGTAGGCCGCTGGGGTGTCAGGGATCGGGGCTGTCCTGCTGGCACTGGCGGCCCCCGCAGCCGCACACCCTGCACCATCCTCACCCCACGCTGTCCTGGAGCAGCGTTGGTTGCCGGCCACACGTGCATACTAGCACGTGGCCACAGTGTGTCACAGCATGGTGGGACACAGCTCGAAGTCATCAGCAGAGGGCAGAGAAGCACATGCGAGTCTAGGAGCATCGAGCGGCTGTGGAAGGGAACAAATTGGAACTCTGGGAAGGTTGTTACGTTTTGTGTGGGGACGGGGAACCTTGCAGAGCACCATGCTGTGTCCATTTCTGTTTTTAAGGAAACAGCAACGTGCATGTGTTCTAGGCAGTGGGTCCCCGAGTGGTCCCATGCTTGAGCCAGAGGTGGCGTGTGTAGATGCCCTCTCCCAGGCCCACTGTGTCCTGGGACCACAGGACACGGCTCACAGACAGACACCTCTGCTTATGTACGGACTTATCTACTCTCCATTCACATACATGATTTCATATGAACCCATAACTGTGATACTTCATGTGGCGTTTTAAGTACTCCCACGCCCCCAACACACACAGCGGGAACTCCACCCAGGTGTGTGGTCAGTCTGGCGACTTCTGGGGTGAAGCACTCAAGGCCATGCTCTGTCTGTCCATCTCCCGTTGTTGGGCAGTGCTGTCGTCTGAGTTTCTGCCTCGATGGACATGAATATTCCTTCAGTGCGCAGCAGTTGGATGTCAGCCAGTCGTTCCCAGGCCAGAATATATTACTTTTCCCAGATTGCTTTATCAAAACCCATCCTGCCAGCCCTGCAGCCACCCTCTCATCTCAGCCAGTGTAACGTAGGTGTCGTGGATGAAAAGTCAGGCTCATTGACACTTTTTAATCTGCATTTCAATGGCTAGGGAATTGGAACGCCTTCTCTCTGCTTGTCTGGCCAGATTGGGTCTTTGGAAATTGTTTGTTTATACCCCTACCCAATTGTTTAATGGGGTCAGACTTCCCTTGTGTTAGTGTGATGCTTCTACAAGCTGTGGATGTGGGCTTTCTAGTTCTCCCGTTGTCATCATCATGGGTGGTGCTATCTTTACCAGCGCGCTCACTAGGCCTCGGTTCTCTCCACATGGTCCTGACCCCCCCTCTGTGAGCAAGAGAAATAGAACTGGTTTGGGGGTGTCCTGTCCAAGGGGACACAGGACATCACGGTTTTCAGTACAACAGGCAACAGTACTCGTCCAGTGTGGGTCTTTGGGGTTGTTGTTTTTGTTTTTTGGAGATGAGGTCTTGGCACAATCAGAGCTCACTTCAGCCTGGAACTCCTGGGCCCCAGTGATCATCTTGCCTCGGCCTCCCAAATGGCTGGGACTACAAGTATGCACCACAATGCCCAGCTGCTTTTAAAAATTTTTTGTAGAGACAAGATCTAACTGTTTCCCAGGCTAGTCTTGAATCCCTAGGCTCAAACGATCCTCTTGCCTCAGCCACGCAATCAGCTGGGTCTATAGGCGAATGCCACCATGCCTAGCTAATTTTTTAAATGTTTTGTAGAGATAAGGTCTCGCTGTGTTTCCCAGGTGGGTCTAGAATTGAATTCCTGAACTCAAACAATCCTCCCACCTTTCCTCCCAAAGTGCTGGGATTACAGGTGTGAGCCACTGCACTTGGCCTCAGTGGATATTCTGAGAGTGAAAATTTCCTTTAAAAATAACATGAGGTCGGACTGCTGGCTCAGCCTGTCATCCAGCACTTTGGGAGGCCGAGGCGAGTGGATTGCCTGAGCCCGTGGATTCCAGACCAGCCCAGGCGAGACCTCATCTCTACAATAAATAAAAAAAGTTAGCCAGGCATGGTAGTGTACACCTGTAGTTTCCACTACTTGGAAGGCTGACATGGAAGGATCCCCAGAGCCCAGCAGGTCGATTGTGGGGTGGCCGTGAGTGTACTCCAGCCTAGGCGACATAGTGAGACGCCAACACATAAATACACACATACATACATTCATACATACATACATACATAAAATAACATGAGATTACTAAGCATTGACTGCGTATATAACATGTCTTTTACCTTGCAGGATCGTATCATTGATGCTGGCCCCAAAGGAAACTATTCTCGATTCATGAATCACAGCTGCCAGCCTAACTGTGAGACCCTCAAGTGGACAGTGAATGGGGACACTCGTGTGGGCCTGTTTGCTGTGTGTGACATTCCCGCAGGTACAGCGCTCTGGGAGGCTCTGCGTGGGGGCTCCTGGCTGTTGCCCAGAGCGTATGGGGCCAGGTTGGGAAGGCTCTGGGGCGGCACTTGGGGACGCGAAGGTTTGGTTTGGCTTTGAATCTCCACTTTACGAAGCAAAAGCGAGAAGCCACGGGTCATGCCTGTTGTAGACATGAAAGTAAGGCGTGTTTTGCAGACCTAATGTGAGCTCCTTGGCTCCATGAGAGAAAGGAGTTTCTAGTGTGGTGTTGTCTCCTCTCCTCCCAGGGACAGAACTGACCTTTAATTACAACCTCGATTGTTTGGGCAATGAAAAAACAGTCTGTCGGTGTGGAGCGCCTAACTGCAGCGGATTCCTTGGGGATAGACCAAAGGTACGGTTACGGCCGCTCCTTTCTCAGAGCTCCGGAGCGGTGCTTCAGAAGCCTAGGAGCATGCCTTCTCGCACATGGTGACTTCCTCCAAGCTGGCTTGCTGCTGTGACAGGCAGGAGTGAGGTCCCTGTGGTGGTGGGAAGTCCAGCTCCCGGGCAGGCGCGGCCTCTCTCGACAGAGGTCGGTTGTTAAGACTCGTCACTGAGTGTGTGTCCTATGGCGGCCAGAACAAAGTACCATGGACTGGGTTGCTTAAAACACAAAAATTGAGCCCCTCTCAGCCCTGGAGGCCCAAGATGTGAAATCAAGGTGTGGACAGGGCCATGTTCCCCCGGCAGGCTCTTGGGAGAATCTCTCCAGGCCACTCCGCAGCTCCTGTTGGTGTCCGGCTATCCTCAGCGTGCTGTGGCTTCTGGAAGCCTCACCCCGACATCTGCCTTCCTCCTTACACGGTGTTCTCCCTTTGTGTGGCCCAAGTTTCCCCTCTTATACGGACACGGTCATGCCAGATGAGGGCCATCATGCTCCTGTCTGACCCCATCTTAACTTATTACGTCTGCAAGGACCCTGTTGCCGAATACAGTCATATTCCACTGTCTTGGGAAGGTCATGGACTTGGGGGGACATTCCCTTTCCTGTAGTGAGTTGGACCCGGGTCTGATAGCCACGGCCCTGTGTTGGTGTCTGTCCTCGGCTGTGCTGGTGATGCTCTTCGGTTTCTGCCATCCTCCTATTCCCACGTTCTTGCAGAGATTCCTAATGAAGAGCCCAGGCAGCGCGTGGGAGCCGTTTGCCCTGCGGCAGAGTCCATTGCCCCGTGGGTCCCATCCGCGGGTTGGGAGGTGTGTGTCTGCCTGCTGCTCAGCTGCGCTCTTAGAAGCTGTTCACAGGCTGGTGGTTGTTTCGGTCTCTGTTCGGCCTTTTCAGGTTCAGTCCAGTGAGTCTGCGCCTGTCTGGGAGCCCCATGTGGGCGTGCCCCCCCTCGAGCATGGGGAGGACACCCCCTTCCCTCCACGTTAAAACATCTGCAGAGCTTTCTGAAACGTCCGCAACTCCACCTGGCTCTCTTGGCTTTTGTGTATGCTTCAGTCCATGTAGTTCTTTTACGTGCATTGTGCTGAATCCTTGATTCCAGACCTCAACGTCCCTTTCTTCGGAGGAAAAGGGCAAAAAGGCCAAGAAGAAAACCAGGCGGCGCAGAGCCAAAGGGGAAGGGAAGAGGCAGTCGGAGGACGAGTGCTTCCGCTGCGGCGACGGCGGGCAGCTGGTGCTGTGTGACCGCAAGTTCTGCACCAAGGCCTACCACCTGTCTGCCTGGGCCTGGGCAAGCGGCCCTTCGGTAGGTAGACAGGCACAGCAGTCCCGGGCCGTGTCCGTGAGAGGGCTCCCGGTGGACAGCTCTCACTGCTGTTCCTGCGGCTGGGCCTCATCCGGTCACAAATGCATCAGTCCCTCGTGAAGTGACAGTCCCCGGTCCAGGGCAGCCAGCCGTTCTCTGTTCCAAACCGTTCCAGGCTACGCGTTGAACAGATATCGTGCGTGGTGTGCACTGTTCACCGCCTGCCGGAGAGTTGGCGTGCATGCCCACGTGGGAGCCCACAGGGGGCCAAGCAGGGTGAGGGAAGCAGGTGGCCCTGGGTCCGCAGCTCCAGCCAGGAGAGGGTCTTCTGAGCAGCCTCTGCATCCTCGTTCCCCCAGGAGGCCCAGGAGGCCCCGGCCGGCGGCAGCACGCTGGAAAAGGAGGGTAGAGCCCTCACCCAGGAAGCAGGGGTCATGCTGTCCCCAGAGAGGACCCTGGGGGCAGAAGGAGGAGCCACTGGCTGACGATGAGCTGTATATCTGGTTCCCTGAAGCAAAAGGGAGTTGCTTCTTCCACCCCGTGTTTCAGAGATCACAGCACCAGCGTGAAACAGTAGCCCTACATACCTACCACATGTCGTTTCGTGACCAGGACGTGTGCTGAGTAGTGTGCTGTCAGGTGACTCTGGCACTGAGTGACCGTCAAGAGTACACCTCCACAGGCCTGGCTGTGGGGCCCCTGCCATGGTACTCCCATGGGACCGCCGGCGGGTATGCATTTTGTCGTTGGCAAAATGTCACTAGGGGTAGGACTGTAATCCCAAGAGACAAGTGAAAAGACCTTCACCCAAAGACAAGAAGCAAAAATACATATTTTGTATGACGAAAGTTGACAAACCAAGGTCAAAAGGCAGATGACACAGAAAAATATTTGTGGTGGATGTGAGAGTTCTTCCTCCCCTAAAAGCCTTTTACAGATTCATTCCAGAAAGGTCCATCCCCAAGTAGAAAATCGGTTCCTCAGCAGCAGGCAGGGCACAGAGGGAAAGCCAGAGCCGGACATGCACAGGGTAGGCCTCCCACGGGCAGGACTCGGAGCAGAGCGGACCCCGAGCCTGTCATTCACGTGGGAGGGCACTCCTGCACCCAGTCCAGCGTCTCTTTGATTGCTACGCATAAAGAGTGGCTGACAGTTGGCATGCGGAGGCCTGGCGGGCACTGCGGGGTGGGCAGGCACCGCTGGGGCCCGCGTTTCTGCTGGGGCAGCGGTGGGGATGGCCTGTCACACGTCCCGCTCGCTGCGCCACCAGCACTCTTGTAACTTGCATTCGTTGGACGCGATGGTTTTAAGAGCAGCTTCAACCCTGGCGGTGTGGAAGTTGTGATTCCGTCGTGTGTTAACTGCTCATGTCCGGTGTTCTGTTGCAGGGAAGTGGGAGTGTCCTTGGCATCACTGTGACGTGTGTGGCAAACCTTCCACTTCGTTTTGTCACCTGTGCCCCAACTCGTTCTGTAAGGAGCATCAGGACGGGACAGCCTTCCGCTGCACCCAGGACGGGCAGTCCTACTGCTGTGAGCATGACTTGGGGCCAGCGTCGGTCAGAAGTGCCAAGACTGAGACGCCCTTCCCCGAGCCCGGGAAGGCAAAGGGGAAGAGGCGGAAGAGGCGGTGCTGGCGGAGAGTCACGGAAGGCAAATAGCGCCAGGGGGCAGCTTGGCCAGATCCAAGGGCGGCACAGGGCGGCCAGCCCTGCCTGGGGGAGAGGGCGCGCGAGGACAGGCCGGGGGCCCCAGCTCCGGCCGCCAGGACAGACGGACAGGCCTCCTCGGGAGGGAGCGCCTCCCACCACTGAGCCATCCTTGGCAGCACCGCTGCCCTGCACTGACCACGCCCGAGCCCGGCTCGGCGTCCAGGACACACAGGCCTCACGCCACAGCATTACCGCGAAACTTGAACGCCTCACAAGGTCCAGGCTCCCTCCCGCGCTGTCTTAGGTTGAAGTTATGACTGGCAGTGGGTTGGCGTGTGGAACGTTTGTATCTCGTCGGAAGTGTAGAGAGTAGCGTTTGATCTAAGGGGTCAGCACCGTTCCCTGAGCGTCCCGTTCCTCCGCTCCTGCTCACAGCACTGCCGTCACTCAGGAGAGACCAGGGAGGGGCCGGTGCACGCACCCGGACCCTGGATTCCTGGAAACCATCATTTTATCATTATTTTGCTCTTTAAACAAGCTGTTATGATTTTTCTTTTTGTTTTTTTTAAACTAATGTGAATTTTTCCTCAGAATGCTCTTTTCCATCCTAATGAAGAGCTGGCCCTGCCAGTGTTGACAGTGACAGTGCTGTCTGGTTCCCTCCCGTGTTTATCTCCACGGAATCGAACTGAATGCCAACACGTGCACTCAGCGCACAGGTCACATGGTGCAGCCGTCGGCGGCCAGGCAGGGCCTCTGCTCCCTGGGCCTGTCTTCCCAGCTCACTAGGTTCTGCTCGACATGTGGGGAAATGTTGTATAGTTTTTTCACTGGGCTTTTCTTGACCAGTTTCTGGCTTTTATTCTCAATAGATTTCTGCTAAACCTATTTCACAATCACCACCGACTGAAATGTCTATTTACTGATGCGAGCCTGAGTTCTGTGACCAAAACACGATCTCGGTAGGGGCACACCGGCACGGTCTGTTTAAGCACTGGGAGTGCCCCTTCAGGGGATCCCGGAGGGCACTTCGGGCAATGGGCCCAGGGACATAGCACACAGGCTGAGGAGAGACCCAGCGTTCAGAGCTCTTGCCATCCCACGCGCCTTCCGTCTCAGCACTCCGTGGGCCTCTGCGTGGAGAACATGGATGTGCCAACTGCAGCTCTGTGCCATGACACCAGCTGAGACACACGCGTCCCAGCGTGAGCCTGCCCGCCACGTCCTGCACCCGTGTGCACAGGCACTGGTTTAGGCCAGGTCTGGCACCCAATTCCCTGTGAGACATCAAGAATCTTTTGTTCCAAAAGGTCCAGCCTTACAGAGTGAGAAATATCCAAGTACTGTGTTCCTCGGATGCCTTGACTCTTCTTTTCTGGGGGATCCTCTTGACCCTGGGAAGTGGGGCGCAGGCTGAGAAAGGGGAGGCCCTGTGTGCCCCGTCCCACCGGGTGCCGCATGCTCTGAGGGGCTGCGTGGGGGTGGGGTGGGGTGGGAGAGAAAGAACATGCAGCAGCAGGTGCTTTTTTGCTGGCTTTTAAAAAACATCACCCAAGGAGAACATCCTTTTGGAGAAAGTTTACAGAACTCTTCTTGAAAAACTGCTACTGAGGTCTCCCCGTCAATTCTTTCGTACCTTTTTTCTCCCTGTCAAATGGCAGAGTCCTTGGGCCTAAGACTGACTGCTCCATGTTGTGAGACCCGCAAGCTTGGGCTTCAGATGAGAAGTCCTGCAGGTCCCTTGTCTCCCCGAACACCGACCGGAGGAAGTTTCACTGGCTGGTGGCCGGCCCCTCTACCGTCGGGTCCCTAACAAAGTGTCCGACAAAGGCCCCAAAGGAAAGGGCTCTGCAGTCGGCGACTTTCACATACAGGCTGAGCCCTACTCTATGGAACGGGCATGGGACGTGCTCGTAAGCTGAGAGCCCTATCTCCTCTCCAGGTGTCTTCAGATCAGTTCAGAGATTTACTCTGCTAATGCTACACTCGGAAGGCCGTGTCCATTCATGCACCTGGCCCTGGCACTTGGAGTTCAAGGCCTTGGGGCCCCACTGACCGGCGGCGGGCTGAAGCTGTCACTTGCCTGTAGAATCCTTTCCTACCAGCTAAGGGACTTCTGCGTAATTCAAAACATCAGGTGGGTTTTACAGTGCACTTTGGGAAGCAGATTAACTTATTTTTATCTTTGATGGTAGGAAAATTTTAAGAGTTTTGAGTCACTTTGATATTACTTCCAGACTATGATCTTTCTGAAGGAAATACTGCAAAAATCTTAAATATGCTTCCTCTCCCTTGCCAAAAACTGTTAAACTAAATGAGCAGATAACACTAACTTTGATACCCTTAGAATACCAGTAATAAATCAGCGGAAAACAAGGCTTTGGGGCAGCGGCC